CAAATCATATGTTTAAGTTTTTGGTTTTGTTCTGCTCAAAGACATACGTGCCTACACAAAAAAGATTCTTAAACAGATTATGTATATGCAATAAGATTAACTTTACAATTACATTCAATTTACTGTAGATTATTTCCGCTTTCGCCCTATTCTGATAACACTTTTGAAATTTGTGTGTTTGACAGAATCACCAGCACCAAATTTTCGGGATACTCTGGAAATGTACTGGACTTGTCAATTTGCCCCCGGGTTGCCTCTAACAGACTACAAAGTAACATATAAACACTTTGAATGTAACGTTACAATGTCCAGTTTGAAATGATTCAGTAATAAGGTCCAGTAAAATGTGGCCGACAGGACAAGAAAGCAATCTTGAATATCTCTAGCATTAAAAGCACAGACAAACAGACATAACACTCGCAATATGTTCATCGAACAAGCATTTATCGGTCAATTTAAAAGTATCTTAGTTGGTAGTACCGCCACCTGTGGCGCGCATAGTCAATTCCCTTGCGTTTGACGTTTCCACACTACCGCCATCTGTTCAGCGTACTACCCACCACAGTGTACTCAACAGATGGCGGTAATGTTTTAACGACGATGTTTTACAGTGAGAAATATTCAATGTGTTATGTCTGTTTGTCTGTGTTAAAAGTATCTATTCCAGCCGCTTTTCCTAATGAAAAGTAAATAACTCTAAGTTCATCAAAATTGGGTGAAACCTTCAAATTTACAACTACTATTAACCGGCCTTTTTTTCCTTGATTTATTTCCGTCGATCTTGTTTTCCGTGCTGAGCACCAATGCTACCGACGTCAGGGAGGCAGCTTCCACACCTAGACCCTACCTATCGACCCATCAATTCATGAACCGGGGACCAATGGCCTTACTTCCCCGAAGGAAGGCGTGATCAGAGTTGTTATGTCTCAGAACATCCCAGCGGCACCGACTGGGATTGAACCCAGACCTGCTGGGGTGAAAGGTAATCACACTTACCACTACACCACCACACAGTGGTGCCGAGGGTATCAAAACACGCGCTTTTTTTATTTACGCTGAAATGGTTGATTAAAGGTGTACTAGGTATATTCTGAGAAGTTTCTTGGGTTAAAACATTCCTTCTTATGGTACAGGAAAATTAAAGATTAATCTTTTTAGGTGAGATGCAAAATTTATTTTTTTAATATGATGAGGTACAAAATAATTGTGTTTTGCAAAACTGTCTTTATCAGTATCATTCCCACTAAAGAACTTATCAAAATCTAACCCCCTTAAGTACTCATCCCTAGGTAAAAAAAAGTCAAGATCATAAGTATAAAATGAAACTACAATGTGTTGAATCGGAACCTACCTAACAAATAAAAACCAAAGATTTAAGTAAACTAAAGGAGAAAAATCTATACAATTTTCTAAATAAGGAAATTCTTGACGATTTTATTCAATTGTATGCTTAATAATACTTGTACAATTTTTAATAATAACTTCTGTTCTGGCTTTGTTCACACAAATCTGGAGAATTTATTCAACTACATCATGGTGTTGGTTAAGGCATGTTGTTGAGAAGCTTTTATTCGACTTCCTTGAGTTTTAACAGAGCTCATTCGATCAAATTTTTTTATTATTCAGCGTTTATAAGACATCTTCTTCCTTAGATAGCGATGATGTATACGCTTGATTATCATTTGAAGTAACGTTCAAATTAGACACTATTATATACATTTAATTTATTAAACGATTATTCGACTGCAGGAAAATTAACCCGAAAATAAAGAACGGTAGAGAGACACAACAGACGGAGTTGTCTTTCCTTTAGTGATTGTTTCCATTATTTCTGACGAGGCACGCACCACACAACAGATGCTAGAAAATTTATTACATACATTTACATGTCCATTACATGGGTTCCGAACCATGTACCTTCCGATCACCAGCCGCTTGCCTTGCCATCTGAGCTATCCTAGAATACATCATATGGGCTGCTCAATATTCAATAAAAGCTTGCTTGAAACTGAATACCTATCAGCACTCCCGATCATCCCAAGGTCCAATGGGAATCATTAAGGTGATACTCTAAGGAAGCTTTAGCGTGAAACTTCAAAGGCACAAATGTCAGCTTCCACAAAACATATAAATTTGAAATTGCTACTCTCTGTTTGTAGTAGCACAGCAAACAGAGAGAAAGGTATTAGTATTGGTTACATTAACCCCCCCCCCCTCCCCACACACACACACACACACACACACACACACACACACACACACACACACACAACGAAAAAGAAACATAGATGCACAGACAAACAGAAAAAAACACATTTAATATTTCTCTCCACAAAACATAGTCACTAAAACACTACCGCCATCTGTTGAGTATCATGTGATGGATAGTACGCTGAACAGATGGCGCTAGTGTGCAGACGTCAAACGCAAGGGAACCGACCGTGCGCGCCACAGGTGGCGGCACCACCAACCAAAAACACTCAAATTGACCATCAAATGCGTATTCGATGAACAACCTGCGAGTGTTATGTCTGTTTGTCTGTGATAAATGGGTTATTAGGAAACTACAACTACATTATAACTATTAGTGCAATGGATGAATGTTAGTTTCGGGGTCATGTTAGCGTTATAGTTTTGTTAGTATTGACCCTTATTCAGCCCTGTCGGTCCCTCGAACACTAGTCGCAGGCAGTTGTTGTTAGGACATGCGACACTGTCACTGCTACTATGTTAGAGGTATGACCCGTCAAGTTTCGAAGTGCAAAAAAACTGTTAGAACTTTCTTATAAATTAACTTAACACTCAAAGCAAACTATTAGCTTAGCATTACAAAAGCGAATTTAAAATTATTATTTTATTTTATGCTAATATTAAAAATATGATAAAACTACAATTTACGGCTCCGTGAAATTAACTCGCATGAACCTTTCAAATCATTGAACTGGAGAAAAACTACAATTTTAACAAATTACAAAAAAAAATCATAGCGACACTTGACCAATCATCATCAAGCCCCTCATCCTTGGACAGGGAATTACACTTATTCAGTATGTTATTAGATTAAACTTCTGGTATGGAATCAAGAAGACAGTCAACGTTAATATAGCTTTTAACTTGTAAATTAATCAGATCAGAAACAACGGAATAAACGCGTATCTATCGTTCTCAATGAGGTTTTTTCAGTATATAATTCGACATCCCGTTTTATTCAGCACTGTACAGCACAGCATTTATTCAATATGTATGCACTCTGAATTGTTTGTTGGGGTGAGAATGATACAAAACACCGTAATTACCCATCTTCATGCCACGCACAACTTTAATGCCCAAGAACCAGTTAAATTGAACTGATTCTTTGCCATAAATAGCCAGTGAGAATTAGATCATTCGACTTCAGTAGTTTACCAGCAGCATCCTTCTTCCACCGCACTTCTTCAGCAGTTTTTGCGTGTGACTCATACAAGCCGTTAAAATCCCGAACTTGAGTTGCTGGACTCAATCTTCCTCTCTATCTTAGCATTTCCGTACTCTATCATCTGCCTAATAAGGACCAATAGTTGATCAAAACTTTCCACATCATCGTCGGCCCGGTCCAAATCCTTTACTGGCAAAGCAGGCATAGGTTACCCATTATAATAGAACGCTCTCAATAGACAACATTTCTTAATGCTCTCTTTCAATCGATTGAGAGTAATTAAACACAATTAAGTCATATTGCACTCAATTCAATCTAACAACGCTGTTACTGAAAAAAAATAAAGCGCCTCTTAATGTAATTGAATGATAGTTGTTATTTAGATCAATTTCTTTACGCTCAGCTCGCAGACTGCTATCACAGTATATAATTAAACAATCACAATTACAATTCCAGAGAAAATGCCAACCCTAGAACTATAGTGCACTAAGCCACAGCATCTAGCATATCTCTGAGCACTATTATTCAAATTAGCTTGAATGACAAACTTGGTAAACAAGATACCGCAGCGCCCAACATTCCGGGTGATACGCATTATGCTCAATTATCGGTCTTACATAATCCGTATGTCCCCGCTCGCTTAGTATGTCGTCTGTCTGACTGAAACCTCAACTCTCGCCCTGTACGTCTTATCAACGCACAATGTACATGTGCATCTCATTATAATATCAAATAGCTGATATGTGCAAGGTTCCTCTACAAAGTGCACCGAGTCACTCGCAAGCTTGAACCCGATCGGCCCATAATCATATCGATCAGTAGGTAAATAGTGCCATGTGGCAAAACGGCTCAGTCGCGGAAAAATAGCTCACATCCTTCTGAACGCATGCGAAATTGCATTCCTCACATAGCTCACCAGGTGCGTTGAAAGTGCAAGTGACGAACGATTATTTCTCGATTATCTTCTCCTCCCCTCGATATGTATCTGAGTTTGCTACAGCTGTTTGGATCGGTGAATGCGTTCACCAAAAGAATCTTAGGGGTGGCTAAGGATCATGGAACTCGATTCAGCAGAATGGCACAGGTTCACGTGTCAGCAACCCAGAATTGACGTGTTGATGACTGATCTAGCTCAATTTAAAACTTATTTACTTATAACTGAACATCCCTAAGTAAGCAGAGAACTGCATGTATTTGCGAGCATAATTATGATAAGCTTTTATTTTGTCGTATTTTCGTCTCTTCGTCTGTCGACCCTCGGAGGATCTCTCACCAGTCTGTCGTCCATCGTGATGGATTGATTGATGTAATTATATGCTAATTCTACGCCGATCTACCGTCCAGCGCGGTGCACCACGATAACTTGTGCAGCATGACATGCGTATGATCTAATGCGTGGAAGTCACTTGACAAGACTCGGAAACTTATGCTCTACCCATTAGCAACCCAAACTGGGAGACATGCTTAGGAAAAGGTATAAAGCTTAGGACCGATTCGGAGTCCATTGGCAGTATCAAATTCATCGGCAGATCGTGTGATACTGATTCTGTAGGATTAGTTGATAGGCGTGGTAGATTCTAGTGAAATGAAACGCCCAACGGTGAGACTGTGGAAAGCAATAGAAGTCGTACAACCACGTGATTCAAATTTATTCTATTCTAGGTATTGTTCCTGTTAGTGACGTTAGCCGCAGGAGCTGTCCTTGGAGATGCAGACGTTGAGCAACCGAATTCAAACACAGGCAAATCCGTCCAGCCTCAGAAAGAGGATGCATCGCTTTCGGAAGGCTCAGAAAAAAGAACCGCAAAGCGGCACATCTCCCTTGGCCTTGGCTACGGAGGAGGACATGGATTTTCGGGTAGTTTGCATGGAGGCAACTCGGGTGGATTCGTTGGGAAAGGCGTAGGACTTGGCTATGGAGGATCGTACGGGCATGGCTATGGTTATGATGGTGGATTTCAAGGATCTGTGAAAAGTGTAGGAATTGGCTATGGTGGAGGCTACGGCGGTTCTTATGGACATGGTTACGGTTATGATGGAGGTTTTCATGGATCTGGATTCGGATACGGCTACGGTGGTGGATATTCTAGCCACGGGGACTTTCACAACGGTTATCACGGAAGTTATAGCTATCCGAAACCATTCTTGACGGCAACGATCAAGGAACACTTTCCAGTACCAGTACCCAAACCATATCCCGTATTCATCAAGAAGACAGTTCCAGTTCCCATCACAATTTCCAAACCAGTACCATATCCAGTGTTTGTAAAGAAACCTTATCCAGTTCCAATTGATCGACCAGTACCGGTGGCAGTCCCATATCCTGTTACGAAACATGTGCAAGTTCCAGTTCCGCATCCTTACCCAGTGCCAGTGAGAGTGCCAACTCCAGTAGTAGTTACCAAACCGGTAGTTGTAACCAAACCTGTTATAGTGACCAAACCGGTGTACATCACGAAGCACTACACACCCATAGTCAGTGCTCCACTAATATCTACACCTCTGTATGCCGCACATAGCCCAATTTTGGCAACGACTGGACACATCTCCGTTTCCAATCACGGAGTTCATCAATCCCATGGATCGCATCTGCAAGCCAGTTCGCATGGCTATTCTAGTGGAAGCCATTATGGTGGTGGTGGTGGTGGTGGACAATACATTGGGGCAGGCAATTCTGCGTACGATTCTCTGGGACATTATGGAGCCTCTGGTAATTATGGAGCCTCTGGAAATTATGGATCCTCTGGTAATTATGGAGCCTCTGGTAATTATGGATCTTCTGGTCATTATGGAGCCTCTGGTCATTATGGATCAGAGGGACACTTTTCGGCTGGAGGAAACTACGGAGCAGAAGCTCACTATTCAGCAGGAGCAGTAGGAGGAACGATCTGCGACCATTAATTACATCACTAGTTAATATATTTGTTACTAAATGCTCAAAAACTATTAAAGTCATAAGTGTAGAACATGGAAGCAATAGAACAATTAGTAATTAAAAAGTTTATAGATGAGAAATAAATCAAACGAATTAAGAAATGAATCATATCACGTTTCGCTCCACTTCGCAGTACACCAAACTATTTCAGGTCCTCCAATATGAGACAACACAATAAAATAAAATAGTTATCATCATATTGCCCGGCATACGTCGCACTCATTTTAAACTAAGAGGAAGAGGTGACAATTGGCTTCTTACTCTTTATTTTTTTTTTCTCTATCTCTATTTTTATCTATGTCTATCTCTATCTTACGCACATCAAATCAGCCAATCACGAGTTGGTTCACGTTTGACAGAAAAGTGGTTCATTTTTGCCCCCGTATTGTCACCTCTTCTCTTCTTTTAGGCCGTTCGCAATGCTGTTGTATTTTATAAGGACTGTTTCAATTAACCACTTCGTCAAGCAAAACTGGACCAAATAATTTCTATTTTTTTATGAAACGCACAAATGTTGGCTACTTTTCTCGAGGTTCTAGAAAAAAAACCTCAAAATAATGTTTTATTTCAAAGTTCGAGTAGTAGTAAATGTCATTTTAAGTGCTCGAATAAAGTGGTTAATTTGAAACTAGAACAGAAACGCATCTCTCGCAATGCTGAGTTGCAGATTAATTATTCGAGCACTATTTTGCACCAGATTTGCAACTGCTCGACTATTCTGTTTTATTTCTGAGCGAGTTTGAAACACGAATGGAACTCTGTTTCAAATTTCTTTGGATGTGTTTAAAGATGTTTCTAAGAGCTTCACAAACAAAAAACGAAGAACTTCATAGAGAATAGTAAAGTTTTTGAAAATTGATTTTACTCATGTTCTGAATGTTAAACATAGAGTCGGACATAGTGCGCTGTATTCGCACAATGATGTGCTAAAAATCGCGCTATGTTTGACGTACAGAACGAGAGCAAAACAGAACGTCACGTGTGGGGTTTTCCGACTAGACCGACAATAGAGAACGAGCGATTATAATGTATGCTGATCTCGCATCATAATCAAAGGTAAATAAGGGATTAAGTCGTGATCGTACCAAAGTATAACGAACGGAAGATCGTACAAAAAAGGTCCCGTACACAAAATCATTTAAATTTAGGTGCTCTGAGAATGACATATAGACCTTTTTGACGTTTAATAGTCTTTCTCTATCCAGCACTCATGAATGAATGAACGGTTTGTTTTCCCACTAATCTGTTTCCCTCTTGCTCGCACTCGTTCGATTTAAATGGTGCAGTAGTGTGCGCCGATTAAACGTCAAATAGCTCTATACGAGCGTCAATTTTGACATAAATTTGAGCTCAATCAAACGTACTCTTCGTCGAGCAACGAACTTTTCAGTCTCGGAGCACTTAATATTACATGACATGTTTGTTTACGTCTCATCTTTTATGTCAAAGACGGATTCCATCACGTGTAAAATTAGTAATTTCTAAGTGTGTAACTGACACAAAAGACCTCACCCATAATGATGTATGAAAATAAATGCAAGACTTAAGCTAGATGTGACTGAGTAATAACCAGTGCTGTAAATTTTCATATCATTCGATTGAAGACAACCAATAACCAATACAACCATTCAATCAATTCTGTGTAAACAAATTCTCACATGACCATCATTTGAAGAGCCTCTTTCTCATTCGAAGCTCATTGTCACTGTCAATTGAGTCACTCACTATCATTTGATATACGACAGTGGAGTATGGAAGAAAGGTAGCAAAATTGTTCCGAACAGACAAGTCGACTCGATGTCGGATCAATGTAAGGCTAATTAAAGGTCGATGTAGACCCAATGTCGTGTTGTTGTCGGGTCAACATTGGGTTGGGATTTGGTAGAAGCCAGTTTGGTGTCGGATTATCTTAGCTTTTTCGCCGGAATGTCGACTAGAGCTCAGTTAATGTGTAGGTTACACTCAATTGAACGACATATACAGTAATGCCCCGTTTTTGTCAGCCCCCTGATGAATTTAAGGCTGACAAAAACGGGACACTGACAAAATCGGGACATTTTTTTTCGCTTAATTTTTTTAACATAATATCTTTAAATGCTGTTTGATAATGCAAGATGTATGTTTTAGGAATCATTCAATATATACGAGCCCATTTTGGGGGGCGGGGGGAGCTGGAATTTCAAACTTGTCGTAAGTGTCATATAAGAAAAGACATTCTTACATTGATGGTGTGGGGGATGGGGGGGGGGGGGTTAGCTAAATGGACTTAGGTAAGAATTGAATGGCCACTCAATGCATATGTGGTTAAGCATTTTCTGTAAGAACAACAATAATAATACATAGTGCATAATAAAGACTTGCATATGTCCCATGGACCACATATTAAAATTCTCTGAATGAAATTTGTAGAGATTTTCACACACACACACACACACACACACACACACACACACACACACACACACACACACACACACACACACACACACACACACACACACACACACACACACACACACACACACACACACACACACACACACACACACACACACACACACACACACACACACACACACAACACACACACTTACACACACACACACACACTTCCGGAAAGGGAGATCGACGGTGGATGCAATTCGGACAGTGGTCGAGAGAGCTGAAAAGGCGTCCAAACAGAAGCGGAGAGGAGATCGATATTGCGCCGTGATAACGATCGACGTCAAGAATGCGTTCAACAGCGCCAGCTGGGAGGCCATCACCGAAGCACTGCATAGAATGAGGGTCCCTGACTACCTGTGCAGGATCCTGAGGAGTTATTTCCAGAACCGGGTTCTGGTCTACGAGACAGACATGGGACAGAGATCGATTAGGATCACAGCGGGAGTTCCACAAGGCTCCATCCTTGGTCCAACGCTCTGGAACGGGATGTACAACGGCGTGCTAACGCTGAAACTGCCCAAAGGAGTTGAGATCGTTGGCTTTGCGGACGACGTCGTCTTGACGGTAACAGGCGAGACGCTGGAAGAGGTGGAAGTGTTGTCAACCGAGGCAATCGACATAATTGGTAACTGGATGAAAGGAGCGAAGCTGCAAATAGCCCACCACAAAACGGAAGTGTTATTGGTCAGTAACTGTAAAGCGGTACAGCGGGCAGAAATCACCGTCGGGGAGCACACCATAGCCTCGAAGCGTGTGTTAAAATACCTGGGAGTGATGATCGATGACCGGCTAAACTTCAACAGCCACGTCGAATATGCCTGTGAGAAGGCTTCGAAGGCCATCAACGCGATAGCTAGAATCATGCCGAACAACGCTGGTCCCAGCAGTAGCAAGATGCGTCTTCTGGCCAGCGTGTCATCATCGATACTGAGATATGGAGGTCCAGCCTGGGTTCCAGCGCTGGAAACGAAGCAGAACCAAAGGAAACTGAGCAGTACGTTCCGGCTCATGGCCATGCGAGTCGTGAGTGCGTACAGAACCATCTCGTCGGAAGCAGTATGCGTTATCGCCGGTATGATCCCTATCGGCATCACCCTGGCGGAGGACAGCGAGTGCTACAGGCAGAGAGAAGCCGGAAGAGTACGGAAAGTTGTGAGAGTGGAGTCATTGGCTAAGTGGCAACAGGAGTGGAACACGACGGAGAACGGTAGATGGACACATAGACTAATACCGATTCTTTCGACCTGGGTGAACAGAAAACACGGAGAAGTCAATTTCCACCTAACGCAGTTCCTGTCTGGCCACGGCTGCTTCAGGAAATACCTGCATCGGTTCGGACACGCAGCGTCACCCCTCTGTCCGGAGTGTGGCAACGTCGATGAAACGCCGGAGCATGTGGTCTTTGACTGTCCAAGGTTCGAGGCAGTGCGAACGGAGATGCCCGTCCTTAACGTGGAGAATGTCGTTGATGAAATGTGTCGAGAGGAGGACTCTTGGAATGCCGTCAGCAGGGCAGTCACACAGATTATGTCAGAGCTGCAGCGTAAATGGAGAGAAGAGCAGCGATCTAGCAACGCCAGCTAGCGCTGAGAGTACGACAAGTGCATGAGCACAGCCACCCCCCGAAGTAGTCGCTTCACAGTGGTCCCGGGGGGATCCAGGCAGAGGAGAGAGTAAGGAATTGGTTTTAGTGGAGCTGCACTAGGCAACTAGTGGATACCACACCGTGCCACCTTCACTACAGGCCAGGCTTCTTGAAGCTTTCCTAAACCTTACTATATAAAAAAAAAAAAAACACACACACACACACACACTTACACTTACACACACACACACACACACACACACACACACACACACACACACACACACACACACACACACACACACACACACACACACACACACACACACACACACACACACACACACACACACACACACACACACACACACACACACACACACACACACACACACACACACACACACACACACACACACACGGGCTACAAATGGTGAATTGACAACCTGGGAAGAGCGTTTTTCCTATCTCTGGTCCTCACAAGTTCCTACCTCACACCTCCCCGTGGTGTAGCCTGGGCAATGTTGTCCTTCTGACAATAGCAAAGTGAGGGGGTGCGACGCGAACACTGGCGCGGTAACCATAACACGGCGATCGAGGAAATGCTTCGTCAACCCGCAGGAGTGCCAACCGGCACATTAGGATCGACGCCAGTAAGATCCTTATTACGGCATACTGGATACGGCATGGAACTATGGACACGACACGGCACAATGGATTGGATACCACGCTACAGGGCTGACAGTCGTGCTATTCTGCTCCCTAAGTAAAGAAGGGTGACACCTTCTTGAAATGGCGAGTGGGCTAATAGTGCGGCTGCCCCCGTCCCGGTAAAACCTTGGCAGGCCTCCGGATACGTTCAAAACTCGTCACCAATTGGTGATTGGTGAGTAGTAGACTCAGATGTAACATTCCTGACTTACGCCGATCTGGCTC